AATTTCAAGCCATTAATGAATCAAAGACGCACGAGATAAAATGGATAAGATTAGAATAAAAAGAAATTCTAGAGAGACTTTATAAATTACTGTCAGAGCGAATAATTGAGGTACTTGAGAACAAGGGAGAAAATTATTAAAGAATAGAGTTTCCGCATTTTCCTCTTTATACTTTTGGTAATTTTTCTGCTGTATTATTTCTGTCCTTTCAATGCACAAATTCCTTTTATTTAAATGTATACACTTGGACTGTACAAAGTGTAATATATGTAATATATGCGCTTTCCTTTTATGCCTCAAATTTTACATCTCACTTGTGTGACATATTTAAAAAATATATTTATTTAAGAAACTATAGTTTCTTAAATAAATATATTTTAAAATATGTTTTAAAAAATATATATATATATTAAAATATATTTCAAAAATTAGTCATTCTTTAATCATAAAACGATAACATATCAGCTTCTATAGAAGATATGTTATCGTTTTATGATTAAAGAATGACTAATTTTTGAAATATATTTTTGTTCACTTACACACAGTAGCTATTCTGTTCCTCCTTTCTCCTTTTGTACAATATTATATTATAAACTTTGCGAAGTAGTAATCGTTATTACTTAACTGTATATACCTCACGATGTCTACCAAATTTAACTGATCGACGAAATGAAGTATCACGAAACATAACTATTAGTTATTGCCACGTTACGATATTTTGCAACTCGATATAAAGGTTCCGGGTCTGGCACGTATGCACAACGAAAGCGTTATGTAATTTGAAAGCCATGCGCCGGAATTGCATGAAACTTTCAGGAAATGTTAGCAATACCGTTACGGATATAACGATGCCATTGCGGTAACCCTGGGGCGTCTCATTCCCGTATATATTCTACAAACACGAAGGGTTAAATGTGGTTTACCAATTGCGCGGTTAAATTCCTGGATACGTTTTCGAATCTCTCTGAGAAAATTACCTGTCGAAGTCAATCGTTCGTTCTTCTACACATTAACAGATTCGTTCGCAATATCGCTTGATTTTATACGATACGTTATACGCTTCATATTTTTCTCGATTCACTTGACAGGCGAAAGAGTGTCGACGTCGAAAAGTATACAAGGATCATTAATTGCATGTCAATATTTCATTTTAAATCTAGAGCATAAAACAAATTTTTTATATTGTACCATATAGATTATTTTATTCTTTAATTTGTGACAAACAATAGAAAATGTTCGAAACGTTTCGCTGTCAATAAAAAATAAATATTCTATATGATACAAAAATTATTCGATTATTTTTTATTTATAGTGTAATAAAAAAAGATTATGAATGCGAAATAGTATAAATCTTTGCTTAAAGCGGCATTTTCAAATGAGTTCGAAAATTGACATATCTCTTTTATGTTTTAATTAAAATATCTCATTTATGTTTTAAGTTTACGTGCTTTCTGAGTACATTGTACCATACACGTATCGATCTATTCATTTCTTTTCAGCTTATCCATCAAAATGTGAATAAAAACATAACATTTTACTTAAAAAATATATAATCTTCATACTTTTAGAAAAAGTTTATTTAACTTTATACCTTCAACTTCAATAATTTTCTATTTTTCCAATAGAATCTTTTTTACTCGTGCTTTGATAAATCACTACTGCAGTGCACTTGATTCTGATTAATGATGTACAAAATTTATGTAATCAAAAGTTATTCAAAACGGCTATACTATTAACCATTATCCAACTTGAAAATTATTTTCTTTAAAATTAAAACTTGTATAAGAAATCATTACAATATATGTAAAGCATAGAGAGAATTAGATTTTCATCTTGAAACCACTCTCAATTTATTCATTAAAGTTTCGACATGCAATTAAGAGTCAACCTGTGTGTTTTGAAACTTATGAGCTTACCTTGATCGTGAATTGTCTGCAGAGCGGTTTGTAGGCGTTTGTGCCGCAAACGAGAAAGCGATCAGGGCCTTGCCTGCCGAACACTCGCACGTAGTTCTGGCACTCGTCGTCACTACGGCCCTTCAAGTAACAAAGCTCGCGATGCGCCTCAGTGCTGGACCATTGCAATCTCTGAAACAGGTAAGATCGAGCAAACATTACTACCTCAGGTCCCGGCTGACTTTGCGTCACGTACGCCGCAAAGTACGCAAGTTTGTATAACAAAAGCCGATTAGAGGTCAGCCAAAGATTAATACTCTTGCATGAAAATTGAGTCTTAACGGATCTCAATCCCCTTGCTTTCAATAAGAGAGAAGGAGACACCGATTCGGAGAATATCACCACTATCTCATGCTTTCGCGCGAGGCAGAGACTCGTTTTAATAATTCCCCCGTATCGCATTAATTTTGCGAGTTACGCGCTTCGTTCGGCAGATTTAGAGCCGGATCTGCGAAAAATGTAAAGTCGTCTTAACGTTAAAGTCGACTTTAAGGTATAATTTATATCGCGTGAGCTGTACGTGTTAGAGAATTAAATGTAATGCGACGTTAAATCTTTTTGAATTCTCGCAATCTCGGTGGAATAAATGAGTAGCGTCGCGAATGGTTGAGTCTTAATCCGATGACAACATTCTCATGATAATAACGATATACTTGGGAAGCTCTTTGTCATCGATATACACATTACTATTCCGACTAAGAGAATAATACTTTGTATTATTAGTCCTTACATTGATACAGGGACGAATAGTAATCCGTCTAACGGTAAGGCAGTTATGTTTCTGAGATTCAATCTGCATCATTTCAATTATATATTCTCATCTTATATACGAATGCGTTCTTAGATAGGATGAACAATAAACGAATTTTATAAAAAAACCTATAAACACTTTATACAATAAACTATGAATGCGATCCACTTCACGCTGCAAATGCTTTAAGCATTCTTTGATTGGTCGATTCGTAAAATTCTTTCTTCTGATTGGTCAACGAAGTGTTTGCAGCGTTAAGTGGATTACACCCTATGATTATAGGGTAAGTTGAGGGAATATGCCACTCGTTGTGTTTAACAATGATACCGATTAGCAGCGCTTGCGTTAATGACACAGAATTATTTACAATTGTGTGCTTAACGTGTTGCATAAGTATCAAGAATTTCCTCGCAACAGTATTGTTTTTATGAGGTAAATATGACGGCATGGTATACGAAAATGTACTTCTTATAACTTTTAGTGCTTTATGTAAGCTATTATTTAAACATTACACAATATTTAGCTCGATTAGCTTGTTAATCTATTAGTGTAGGTTAAAATGAAAATATTCAATACATCGTTGATTCATTTTCTTAACAGTCGTACTGTACAGGCTCATCATAAGATGAAATGACGTCTTGGGGCAATATGCCACTACTTTTGTTAGGGTAAAATGCCACTACTCATTTTCTCTAAATATATAGGTTAGGGCGCTATAAACAAACGTTTTACCGCATAATTCCGTTGTGACAGGATATTCGTATTGACAGATACTTAATAAATAAACTTAAATGTTTATTTATTTGCTTATTATTGTATTATATTAATTTACTGCTCAATTCAAAATTTTGAATAGAGAATACAGTTTTTTTTAATCCATTTTAATGAATTGAATTTTTTTGATTACTTGGACTACTTGTAACATTATGTAAAATAAAGTAAAATAAATATTTATTTATACGTTTCATACTTACACATTACATACTTTTACTTTTAAAAATGGCCCAAAATGTAATTGGATAGTATCTAATTGTTGCAGTAGATGGATTCACGAGGACTGTTCGTAGAAAGATATATTTCTGCTATTAAAAACGTGTCTCAAAATTTATTTTACATGTTGTATAACTTAATCTATCGAAGTTATTACTTATATCCTTATACCCAGTGAGAAATGATAATGGAATCGACATTGAATCGATTTTATTGTCATTTCTCACTGGGTATTGTTTATATTACCTATATTATGTTACAAATGTTTATTTTCATCACAAAAATCATTTATAATGTGTTCTTGCAATAAAAAAAACAAAATAAATGTTATACTTGGTATTTTTTTGTATGTGGCATATTACCTTCATGGTGGCATATTATCCATTTTTCAGCACTTTCGTATTTTTAATATAACCAAAAATTAATATATTCAATTCCAATTATACACAAATAACACAGGCCTGCAAAATTGGAGG